GTGAAGATTTTTCCCATTCAGTAGGCTGTTTTTTTTGTCTTATTGACTGTGTCCTTTGCTTTATAGAAGCTTCTCAGTTTCAGAAGGTCCCATTTATTTATTGATGCTCTTATTGTCTGTGCTACTGGGGTTATATTTAGAAAGTGGCCTCCTGTGCCCATTCATTAAAGGTTACTTTCCACTTTCTCCTCTATCAGGTTCAGTGTGGTCGAATTTATATTGAGGTCTTTAATCCATTTGGACTTGATTTGTGCATGTTTGTGCATGGCAACAGATATGGATCTATTTTCATTCTTCTATAGGCTGACTTCCAGTTCTGCCAGCACCATTTGTTGAAGATGCTTTCTTCTTTACATTGCATCTTTTTTGTTTCTTTGTCAAAAATCAGGTGCTCATAGGTATGTGAATTAATATCCGGGTCTTCAATTCGATTCCATTGGTCAACGTCTCTGTTTTTATGCCAATGCCAAGCTGTTTTCATTACTGTAGCTCTGTAATAGAGCTTGAAGTCAGGGATGGTAATGCCTCCAGCATTTCCTTTATTGTACAGGATTGTTTTGGCTATCCTGGGTTTCTTGTTTTTCCATATGGAGTATTAAAGTCTGTGAAGAGTTGTGTTAGGATTTTGTTGGGGATTGCATTGAATCTATAGATTATTACTATGTTGATCCTTCCTATCCAAGAGCATGGGAGATCTTTCCATTTTCTGGCATCTTCTTCAATTTCTTTCTTCAAAGACATAAAGTTCTTGTCAAATAGGTCTTTCACATCCTTTGTTAGTGTTATCCCAAGATATTTTATGTGATTTGTGGCTATTATGAAGGGTGATGTTTCTCTGATTTCCCTCTCAGCTTGGCTAATTTTTGTATGTAGATTTTGTATCATCCACTTTATTGGATTTGTTTACCAGGTATAATGTGGGGTTTTTTTTTTTGAAATTTTTACTTTTTTCTTGAAATAAGGTCTTGCTTTCTGTACACAGAAACAACCTGACTACCTCCCTTCCAATTTGGATATTCTGAATTTTTTTCCATTGGCTGAAAGCTCTGGCCTGGGACTTCTAGTCCTGTGTTGACTAGGACTGATGAAAGTGGAGACTGATTGTCTTCCTAATAACCTTAGAGAAAAAGTCAACTATCCCCTACTGAGTGAGTACAATGCTGGCTGTGGGCTTGTCACATTACATGAGTTCGATCACTCTCTGTCATTTTAGATTTCATTTTTCTTATAGCCCTCTATGATGGCTATTCTTTGTTTTGTTTTGCTTTTCGAGACAGGGCTTCTCTGTGTAGTCCTGGCTGTCCTGAACTCACTTTGTAGACCAGGCTGGCCTCGAACTCAGAGATTCACCTGCCTCTGCCTATGGAGTGTTGAGATTAAAAGCATGTGCCCCCACCACTGGCCTCTGTTGGCTATTCTTATGTCCACTTGACACAAGCTAGAGTTATCTGAAAAGAGGGAAACTCAATTGAGAAAATACCTCTGTAAGATCCTTCTCTAGGGCATTTTCTTAATTAGTGACTGATGGAGGAGGGCCCAGCCCATTGTGGGTGATGACATCCCTGGGTTGATGGTCCTGGATTGTAAAATAAAAAACAGGCTGAGCAAGCTTTGGGGGGCAAGCCAATAAACAGCGCTCCTCCTTGGTATCTACATGGGCTCCTACCTCCTGGTTCCTGCCCTGTTTGAGTTCCTGTCTTGACTTATTTTGAGGATGAACATCTGTATGGAGTGTAAGTCAAATAAATCCTTTCCTCCCCAACTTGCTTTTTGGCAATGGTGTTTTATCACAGCAATAGTAACCCAACTAAAACACCTTCCCACCTCAAGATCTCTTCCTTCCTTCTCACAGTCCTCTCAACTTTTATTATTTATGTACGTGTGTGTGTGCATACACAATTTAAACCTAGAGTCTGCATATGAGAAAAATCACTAGCATTTTTGTGAGTCTAGCTTATTTTGCTAAACATAAGGATTTTCCATTGCTTTCACTTCCTGCAAATACCATGACTCCATTTTTCCTCATGGATGAACAAAATTCCATTGTGCTTGTATAACACATTATCTTCCCTCTTTAATTTCTTGATGAACATCTTGGATGATTCTGTTTCTTAGCTACCATGAGTAGTGTAGCAGTAAGTGTGGATGTTTTGTACCTCTGTAGTGTGGTGTTCAGCATCCTTTGCGTATACACCAAGAGTGGAAGAGTTCAGTCATGCAGTCATCCTATTTGTAGTCTTTGGAGGAACCTCCACATTGATGCTCATCATGGCTGTAATTTACATTCCCACCTACAGTATATAAGTGTTCCTCTTTTCCCACATCAACAGCATTTGTTAAAACAGGTTTTATTGGTATTTGATATTCTGACTAGGGCAAGATGGAATCTTCCCCCCACTCCCAGAAATCATAATATATAAGCAAAAGACAACAGCAGTTTTTAAAAGGCACAGATAAAGCATCATCAGACAAAAAAATCTCCCAAAATATCGTTGAGTTCATTTTGAATTGGCTGTCTGCTGCTAGACATGGGCACATTCTAGTGTGGTTTCGAACCCAGGGAGACGCCATTGGAGACAGCTACTTTCTGCTTTATGAGCAGTTGTCACTTGGATATAGTGTCTTGGTCGGGGGTTGGGGGAAGATTGTGTTCACCTCCCTCTCAGCACTGGGACTCCATCGTCTAACTTGCACCTGTAAAGGCCCTGTGTTTGTTGCCACAGTCTCTATTGGTTCATACGTGTGTCAGTCCTGTTGTGTCTGGAAGACATAGTTTCCTTGGAGTTCTCTACCCCCACTGACTCTTACACTCCTTCTACATCCTCTGGGGCAAAGAACCCTGAAGGGATGAATTTCATGGAGACATCCCATTTAGGGTGGGGTGTTCTGAGGTCTCTTACTCTGCATACTGTCCAGTTGTGGGTCTCTGTGTTTATTCTCATCTACTGCAGGAGGAAGCTTCTCTGACCATGGCTGAGCAAGGTGCAGACCTATGAGTATAGCAGTAGGTCATTGGGAGTCATTTTATTGCTGCATTTCTTTAACAGAACAATGGTATTTGGCTCCCCCACCCCGCCCCAGTACTATCTAATCTCAGGTTTTTGGCCACCTAAGTGGCATTGGGTATGGGTTCCATACAATCAGATATTAGTTGGTTACTCCCATGGCTTTTGTGTCACTAATGCTCTAGTGTATCACGTGGGCAGGTCACTATTGAGGATGGAAGGGTTTATAAACAGGGTGGTGTTTACCTTTCTCCTTGGGAAGCATACAGAATACCTTCCAATACTGTGAACACTATTCAGTGGGGGTGAAGGCTCTGGTTAGGTACCAGTACAACCTCTTCACATTCAATGAGTTATATATGTTAAGTGTTGTCTTCAGCAATAAGGCCTTACTAGCAAGATAGAGTATTAAGGAGATTTTAATTTTACTTAAGTGACAGCTAAGGATATTGAACACCTTTTTCAAATATTTATTGGCCACTTATATATTTTTTTAATATTATTCAGTTCATCCACCTATTTGCTATATTTGGATGATTTATTTTCTTGGTGTTTACTCTGGTCATTTATGAATGTTATACATCAGTTCCATGTCTGATGTATAGTTGGCAAATATTTCTTCCCATTCTGAAGATCACCTCTTCACTTGGAACAGTTTGCTGTGCAGAATAATTTTATGATGTAGGAGAGTCTTCTATCTATCTGTTGCTTTCATTGGTTAATTAATAAAGAAAACTGCCTGGCCTGATAGGTCAGAACATAGGTAGGTGGGGAAGACAGAACTGAATTGTGGGAGAAAGAAGCAGAGGCTATAGCTCAGAGGCTGGAGCAGGTTAAGATCTTCCCAGTAAGCCACGACCTCGTGGTGATATACAGATTATTAGAAATGGGTTAGTCAATATGTGAGAGTTAGCTAATAAGGGGCTGAAGACAATGGGCCAGGCAGTGTTTAAATGAATACAATTTCTGTGTAATTATTTTGGGTAAAGCTAGCCGGGAGGCAGGTGGCAGGAAGCGGCCTGCCATTCCTTTTACAATTTTAATTTAAGTAAGCTCATACATCGATCATTGAGAGTCCCTTCTGTGTGTTCCATTCCTTTTCAGAAAGCCCTTCCCTGTCCCTTTAACTTGAAGTATGTTTTGCTGTTGTTTTATGATGTTCATACATGTAGCATGCATGTGTGTGATATATGTGCATGTTTGGGGGGTTCTAAGCATTGGTTTCCAAGTGGGCAGAGGCCAGAGACGGGTGTACAATGTCCTGCACTCTCCCTCCACCTTCTTGTCCTCTCCTCCAGACTGCTCTGTTGGTTCCACTCTGTGTGGATTTTTCTGTTAAAACAGAGCTGGCTGCTTTCCTGGGTCTGAATTTCACTTACATTTAGAAAAATGTTTATTATGAATATAAAGTCCAAGTTTCATTGGAAGGGGAATATAGTCATTAGTAAACAGGGGAAACAGTCATTAGAAAACACAAACCTAGGCAAATCTTTTCAGTTCCCTGGAGTTATTTTTTCCCTTATTCATAAAATGTGATAAAAAATTCAACTTAGGGGATTGCATAAAACACCATATTTGAAAAGACTCAGCTCTGAAGTGTAAGCTCAGTGGTGAAACACCTGCCTAGTATCCATGAAACCTGACATTTAATTCTCAGCACTGAAAAACAGCTAGTATTTTAAGAACAAAATAGTTGGTAGTTATTGTAGCTTGATATTCAAAATGTAAAGAATTGAGGATGGGAGCAGTAACTGGCAAGCACAATGCCCTGGTTTTGATTCTCACCATACTATAAACCGACTGTGCTGGCCCATACCTGTCATCTGAGTACTCGAGAACTGGAGTCAGGAGAATCAAAATATCTCAAAGTCAGTCTGGAGTTCATAAAACTCTGGTTCCAAAAATAAGACAAACAAACAACCCGAATGGTAAAGCACAAATTGCCATACAGAAAGATAATTTCTAAGAGGTCTTCATTTTTTTTCTGCTCTTTAGGCAGAATATGCAAAGCCCTTGTGTGTTCTACAGTCTGAGCCGAGGAATCAGTGTAAAAGATCATCAGAGTCTTCAATCCTGTATCCCACACCCGCCAACCAATCCGATGCTAGTAAGAAGGAGAAAGTCTCTACTCCATTTACAGGTACACAGATCGCATGTTTGTATCAAAAGAGATAAAAAGTAACAGCATATAATGTACATTATGGACATTAAGAATATATATGACCAAGGAATAGTACGGTTTAGTAGTACAGACATAATATGCCCTTATTTCGTAACATCTATTACTACTAGAAGAAAGGCAAAGTCTGGGTTCCTTACTCTGCTTATTTCAAGTCCATTTACAAATTATTAGCTCCAGTCTGGCACTACTGGCATCCAACCAGGACAGACCAAAGATATCTGCTTCTGGCCAAGGACAAGAATTAAAACTGCTTGCTTTTAGGGTCCTTGCTCCCAATGTGCCTAACCTGCTTCCGTGTCCTGTCTTCATCACTGCTTAGAAATCCAAGTTTACAAAAGACTGCTCAGGAAAATTCTCCCTAGGGAGCACAAAGATAGTCAAAACTTAAACATTTGGAACACACTTTTATTTTATGTTGTGTGGATGCATATATGTCCATGCATCCTGCTTCACATGTGTAGAAATCAGAGGACAACATGAAGGACTTGATTCTCTCCTTTTATCATGTGGGTTCTGGGTATCAGACTCAGGTCATGGGACTTGGCAGCAAATGCCTTTCCCTTTGGAGCCGTCTCACATACCCCAAACGTATTATTTGTCATTACACCAACCACAATAGAGGCCTTGTCTCTCGGCCTTTCATGACTCAGCAGAACCAATGGCACAGCGCAGCCTCAAAACCCTTTCAAGGTAACAGAGCCTGGCATACATAGAGCCCAACCGAATCAAAACAGCTCAGAAAAACCAAGCCAGTCACCAAAGTGGCTCAGAAAGAACTTAGCTCAGTGGAGTCCCAAAACTAAGGTGAAGGCAAAGTTCAGGGGATAAAGATCGGGGAAAACGTATGAAAGGTCAAATTTCCTCAAGTCCAAAACAAAATCCAGTTGTTCATTTCTCTACTTTGTCAAAGAGAAGCCTAGATATATATATCTAGATATATATATATCTGCTTCTGGCTGAAGTGGGAATATAAGGAAAACTCCTGGGAGAAAGTCATTCCAGCAGCTACGTGGAATCTTTCCTTTTGATCTCTCCTTTCCATCTGTGGTTAACTTGCCACCAAACATGCAGAAAGAGAAGACATATCCAGTGTGGCCATATGGGGAAGACGAGCAAATACAGAGGTGACTCCGCCCCCACCTGCCAAAAGTCCATCTTTGGAGTCTTGATATAAGCTTTAGTTTTAAATGATTACATTGTCACAATTCTCCAAACTACATGTTTAAGATGTGAACATTTCATTGCCTTTAAGTTATACCTCGACAAAGCAAAGAAAACAGTTACAAGAAAGCAGAGTCTTCTAGACACAGAAGGGCAGCTGCACACATGAATTCGCGGTGCTTGTGGCAGCTTGCACAAGACTTGTGCATGCTCAAACCAGACACAATTTCAGCGTGGAGAGGGGATTGCACATGAAACCTCACCCCTAGCCAAGTAACTACAGGCAGTTGGTAGCTCCTGGGAGAAGGAGAATCAGTTTTCTCTAAGGATGTAGATCCTGGTAAGATGACCGCGGTCCATTGATTACCACACATCCAGAAATACTTGGGAGGCACTACTTAATCGTAATGGGCTCTAAAGATGGGGGGGGGGTGAGAAGGGGGTGGATCTGGGAAGTGCTGGGGGAGGGGTGAGTATGATCAAAACATGCTGTATGAAATTTTCAAAGATCTAGTAAAAACTTAAAAAAAAAGTAAGTGGCAGAAGAGATGACTCCAGTTAAGACCACTGGTTGCTCTTCCAGAGGACCCAGCATCCACATGGCAGCTTAACACTGTCTATCAGTCCCAGGGATCTCATGCCCTCGCGTGACCTTTGCAGGCACCAGGTATGAACAATGTGCACAGATATACATGCAGGCAAAATACCATAAATGAGAATAAAAATATTTTTAAAGTTAAAAAGAAAACAAAAGAAACCAAACTACACAAGTCTAAGATCCCAAAAATGTAACTGTTAAAATAACTGATAAAAAAAAACTTGTACAAATACAACAAATAATAATAATAAGATTTAATTTAAAATTAAAAATATTAGTTTTTGGAGTGTGTGATGTGAATATGTGTGTGTGTGTGTGTGTGTGTGTGTGTGTATTTGGAAGTCTGAAGTTAATATCAGGAGTGTTCCTCGCTCATTCTCCACCTTATTCATTGAGACAGGGCCTGAAAGTTAAATGCAGAGCTGACCAACATGGCTGGTTTAGCTAGGAAGCTCACTCTGGAGATCCATCTTCACCTTCCCGGTGATAGAATTACAAACAGGACTTCTGAACTATTGCCCTCAAGTTTACATGGCAAGTGCTGTATTCACTGAACCATCTATCTATCACCTCCAGATGCTAGTTTAAAAGGCTAATAATAATAATAATAATAATAATAATAATAATAATAATTGGCTCCTGCACACAGTCACCTGTGTTCACGTTTACTGTCCTCAGCTGACAACCTTTAGTGATTCTTGAAGTGATGAGCTGTATTGTTAACTCTTTTTACCCTTGTTTTTCCAAACTGTCTTCATTTTGCTGTCACTCTTGAGTACTCTACAAATAACATTGACTGTGACGTTTGCTAGGATGTGGAAAAGAGTTTAAATCAATATTCTAAAATGAAACTACTTGATGACAAGAAAAAGTAGGGTGTCTCACTAACAGTAAGTATGGTGGTTTGGATGAGAAAGGCCCCCATAGGCTCATATATTTGCCTGCTTAGTCCCAGTTGATGAACTATTTGGGAAGGATTAGGAAGTGTGGCCTTGGTGGAGGAGGTCTATCACTGGGGTGGGCTTTGAGGTTTCAAAAGCCCATGCCAGGCACACTGCCTGCCCCCTCTGTGTGTGTGGGTCTCTGTTTCTGTCTCTCTGTCTCTCTGCTTCTCTGTCTCTCTGCCTCTCTCTCTCTGGGTGCTTGTTGCTTCTGGATCAGAATGCAGGACACTCAGCTACCGGCTGCTGTTCCAGAGCCATGCCTGTATGCTTCCTGCTTTGGTCATGAACTAGCCCTCTGGAACTGTAAACAAGCCCCAATTACAAGCTTCATTTTGTAAGAGTTGCCTTGGTCCTGGTGTCTTTTCATAGCGATAGAATAGTTGGTACCAAGGATATCGCTGTGACAACCTGAACACACAATTGTTTGTAGGAATATGGAAGACTGGGACTTTGGACTAGAACAGTAGTTGAATTCTTTAAGCAGGGCTTAATAGGCGATCCTAGTAGGAGCAAGGGAGAAAGTACTACTGAGATATATATAGCTTATGACAGTCTAGCTCAGGAGGTTTCTAAGGAGAATAATATTGGAGACCACTCTTGTGGCATTTTGGCAAAGAACGTGACTACTTTTTGCCTTTGTCCAAAATATCTCCTGGAGGCTAAATTGAAGAGTTTGGGACTAATGGGACTAGCAGAAGAGATTTTAAGAGAGCAAATATATTGGCTGTGTTGTGTGATTATTAGTGATCACTCTGTTGTCGATCTACAATGAAAAAGTGCAAGCTGGGCAAAAAGAAATACAAAATATATGGTTTGAAGAGAAAAAGACCACCAGAAAATATAATACTGGAGCCAGGTCCTATGCTCAAGGAGATGAGAAGTTTAAAGAAAGACTTGATTCAAAATAGAATAAAGAGAGATGTACCCTTACAGCAAAAGACCACCCAGCTAATCCTGCTGTTGCAAAAAGAATAATCCTGAAGACTTCCCTTGGTCTAGAAACCATCAACAGGACCAGGTTTATGCAAATGTAAATCCTTGGGGCTGACTGGGGTGTCCCAGGTTCCAGCCCCAGCAAGCAAAAGAAGTTGGCAGCTTCAGTCAAGTGGTTCTGGCTTAAAAATCAAGAGTATAGGGGTGACACAGTCTTCCGCTACTGTTAAGGAAAGCCATTGAGGCAAGGAGTCTGGCAGGGTAGTCCCTGAATGCATGCAGGCTAAGAAAGGCCATTGTATGGAGCTATATAGGTGAAACCTGGATTGCACTGGAGACCCCACGATATTGGAGATGCCAGAGCTGCTGAGGAAAACTGCAGACTGGGTGTGGAGCCAGCCAAAATGAAACAAGTGTGTCGCAGTCAGCAAAGCTGAAAGGAGTTGGAGATCTGAGGAGCATTTTGACATCAGATACGGAGATGCAGAATTTGCATTTGATTGAATTTGCCCTGTTGCTTTCAATCTTTCTTTGGCCCAGTATTTTCTCATTATGCACCCTTTCCTCCTTTTTGGAATGGCAAGGCCTATTTTATGCCATTGTATGTTGGAAGTATATGAGCTGCTTTTCAATTTTAATTTTACAGAGGGTTACAGCTAAGAGATTGCCCTGAGTCACAGAAGAGGCTTTGGACTTTTAAGCAGTCCGGAGACTGAAAAATTATGTGGACTTTTAAAGATTATGCATTTTACATTATGATATGGCTACAAGTTTATGGGGGGCAGGGAGCGGGATGTGGTGGTTTGATTGAGAATGACCACAATAGGCTAGCATATTTGCATACTTAGTCCCCAGCTGATGAACTGTCTGGAAAGATTAGGAGGTATGGTTTGTTGGACTTGGTATGTCGCTGGGGATAGGGTTTGAGGTTTCAAAAGCCTACACCAGTACCAGTGTCTCTGCCTGCTGTCTGCAGATCAGGGTGCAAAGCTCTCGGCTACAGCTCCAACACTATGCCTGTCTGCTCCAGCCATCATTACGGACTAGCCCCCTGAAGCTGTAACAAGACCCCCAACTACATGCTCTCTTATGAGCTGTCTTGGTCACGGTGTCTCTTTCCAGCAACAGAACAGTGACTCAGACAGTATCTATCTGGGGTCGTTTAAAGAGGCAATAAATTTCTGGAGTGGCCACAAGATCTGTCTGGAAGAACTTGGCCTTGAAGACTTACTTCCTAGCATCAGGTGGGAAGATTTATTTGCTCTCTGCTAAGTGACTGCTCTCCATACCACCATGTTAGAGCTGGAGATACAGCTCACTCAGTAAAGCATTTGCCTAGCCTGCGTGAAGCCCTGGGTTCCCCTGCACTGCATAAAATCAGGTATGCTAGTGCAGGTCTGTGATTCTAACACTTGGGGAGTAGAGTTCAATGCTATCCTCAGCTACATAGGGAATTTATGACCAGCGTTGGCCACATGAGGCCCTGTATCAAAAACATAAAAACAAAACAAACAAACAAAAAAACCCTTTTCTCCATGGAAACTCTCTCGGGTTACTTTTCTGTTTGCAACTGTCTTGGTGGAACACTGAAGTCTTTCCATCTATGGCTCAGCGGTGAGAGCACTTCCTGATTTGATTTTGATTGCCAGCCCTGACATCAGACAACTCACAATTACCTGTGACTCCAGTTCCAAGGGGATCTGGTATCTCTGGCCTCCACAGTCACTCACATAACACACATGCAAACTCACAAAAAAGAAGTGTGGGCAAGCTACTACAGATTTTCCACTACTCCAGATGTTCTCTGTTATTTTAAACTATAAGATACTCAATACCGACATTTTCTACGTAGCATAATGCTTACATAACTTTTATGAAAATCTGTGATTTCAGATAAAAATGGAAACAGAGCTAAGAAGTCCATGTATTCTACAGACCACTCAGCAGATTCTATTAAAGAAGGGTAATGTTAATATTTTATACTGTTCAATGATGACCCTAGTCCAACAAGTTCTGCCTTGTGTAATACAGAATGTTTTTTTTTTCCTGGCTTATTATTAACATTTGCTCTCATAGTACCAGCAAAGGAGGAGTCCCAGGTTGGTCAGCTAATGGGCGTCTTACCTGGACCTGGGCACAGTCAAGTCAAGCACAGAGAATATAACTATGTTTCTGCAGTAGGCACAAATTTAGTTACATTTCCACACAGAGGTGAAAAAGTGGTTTATTTCTTGTACAACATCTAGATCCTTCTCATCAACATCTCTGCACAATGGAGCCAAAGTCCCACTTGCAACTTTGGTGCAATGACAGATGGGCTCTTTGGCCTTAGCTCACCCTTCTGTTTCTTTCCAAGACTGTATCTGCAGTGTAGATAGGAGTGAGGGCCTTGGTGAACTTTGGGAAAAGGAAAGGAAGGTACTGAACCAGGGGCAGAGCCAGATCCTTCATGCTGCAGATTATCTGTCGGGCATGAGCTCATGGTCGGTTCTCCAGGAATTTGATCAGGGTGCACTCCGAGGACCCACAGACAGGACAGGCTTGCTCTGTCATCTCCTCCGTCCTTGCCCTCTGGGAATCAGGCTATCTACTTCATTTTTGCCAAGTTTGTGTTACGGGTTACCTCCAAAGCCTATAATGGCGAGGCTATTTCCCATGTAAATCAAAGGAGACCAGAGATGAAATCTCTCTTGTTCTTTTTGCGCCTGTTCACACTGTTGCATCCTCCTAACTACACTACTTAAAAACAAAAGCAAAACCCAGCAAAGGCTGTGTCGGCTCCCTCTCTTTCTTTAGTGTTCTATTCAGCCTCCACGGGATGTTCCCCGCTCAAAATCAACAGGTACCCATGACTTCATCCACTCCTGCTACTTCTACCACAAACCAGGTGGGGAGGGGGGCTTATCAGGTTGACCGATATCTACTGGATCAGGGGGCTGCTGACAGTAACTTCTAGAGAGAGTGAGAACTGATTAGCTGAAATTACGCCTTACAAACTGCTTTCCTCAACTATGTTCATTTTCAGGAGAACGGATCATGATTTTACGGCAAAAGAAAACGAGTCAGTCAGAGATAACCAAGCAACGTCACCTCGCCCAGCAAAGCAGAACATCTTACTCCCCTTGCACGTTGAGGACGTATTGAAAAATCCCATCATCAAGACAATTGACCTTGGTCCAACAGAGACCGTGCTTTATTCCATGGTAACATCTACTACTGTTCAGTAAAAATGAATACCCCAAGCCTCGGGGAAGGCTAGAAAGACAATGTGACTTGAAAACCATCTTGATGGGATCATCCAAATATAGCCCACTCTGCTTTGTTGAGTCTGTGGTACAGTCACAGGTCATAATTAACAACTTGGATGATGGAGCGGGGATGCTTTCTAAGAGCTCCATAGTGTCTGCAATCCTAAGTAGACTAGTTTTTCACTCCCACAAATCCTAGCTTTTCAAGGCAACTCCTTCTAAACGGAAGACTCTTATAGGTGATTGGCAGAGCCCAAGTCCCATACTCTAATTCCAGGGAGGCTGGTGGAAATAGTTTCTATCTGACCCTCCATGGGCTTCCAGCAGCAATTCTCAACCTGTGGGCTGTGACTCTTTGGGGGTCGTATATCAGATAGCCTGCATATCAAATGCTGACATGATGGCTCATGACAAGAGCAAAACTACAGTTATGAAGTAGCAACGACACAATGTTGTGGCTGGGGGTGGGGTCACCTCAACATGAGGAACTGCATTAAAGAGTCGCAGCATTTGGAACATTGAGAACACTAACTTAATACTAATGTAATAATATTACACTAATTTGTATGGTAGGAACTCCTTACAGTGCCGGATAAACTAAAACTAATGCAAAGGCCACTATTGTGGCTAGTTGGTAAGATTTTTATCACCAAAGGACAGTAAACTGGTTCTCTGGTTATCTTTTTGGGAATCACAGTCATTGGGATACATTTCATGCTAAGGAGACTTGTACACCACCCTTTAATTTCTGATTTTGTCCTGGGAAAGACCCCTCCTGGCTTGCTGTCCAGGGCTCATTCAGCTTCACTGCCCCTGGTTCCTGCTCTGTTTCTGTTTTAGTTTATTCTGCCTGGAGACCTCCCAGCTGTTACCAGCATGAGACACTGACCTGCTCAATGGCTAGGGGACCTCAAGCTGGGGAATCAGCTGTGACTCCACTCCTTCTGCAGAGTGTAATTCTAGGCCCAAGATAGAGCCAATGTCAGAGTTTAATATGGAAGAGAAAAGCTCTGTCTCTGTTGAGAGTCCCCTTCCAACCCATCTCCCAATCCAGACATCCTGTAATGGTACCTAGCCAATCCTTTGTGCCGGCATCGCCCACCGCCATCCGCTCTCTCGCTGCCTATCTCTGCCCGTCCCCCTCCCCCGCGACGTCTTCTCGTCATAAGTCTTCCTCACCTAAGAAATCAGTAAGCACAGCTGCCTTTCCCAGCGACCAGGTAAAGAGGCAGAGTGTCCCATCCCAAGTGTGGCTGCTGATGTGACTTGAATGTCTCTGTTGCCCCTGATCCGTAAGTTGAGTCCTAAGACCTAGTGTAATAGTCACAAGAAGAAAGGTTTTTATGAAGATTACAGGACTCTCGGGAATGGGTCCGTATGCTTGCAAAGGACTTAGGGAACTGACCGGGCTGTTTCTACCTTTATATCTTCTCCCATGCAAGGACACTGAGACAGTGCCAACTATAAAGGACACACCAGGAACCGAACCCATTCCACCTTCAAGTCTGGACTTTGTGCCCTTCAAAGCTGTGAGAATTAAATCTCCATTTTTTTTAATGTAGAAATTATTGACTTAAGATAATAAAGCAAATATTGGTAATATGCATATTTTACTAGTTTTCATGGAATTGATTTTTATCTACAAAAGAGTAAGGGGCTGTGAAAATTATTTATGCCAATGTGGGGGTAGTAATTTAAAAAATACTTTTATAGATTTTGCTATTACTATAGTAAAGCATGTTCTACCTTTCTATCTATTACTTTGGCTACTTTATTCAAATATATATTAAACACTTTTACCAAGTATTATAGTAAGTCCTAAGGTACAATTGTAAATATTCCAATAATAGACAAAATTCAAGGTTTTAAAATTAGAATAGCCATACATGGTCATTTGGGCTTATATTCAATTAAATCTCTTATCTTTGACTCAACCCATTTTAGGGGGTATAGTCCTTTTATTTCTAGAGCATGGACATTTAAGAAATGCCCACAGTGCTCCTTCCTACTAACTCTCTTCTCTCAATTCACAATGGCCCAAGAATAATTAAGTACTTCCTTCTACTAACCTCATCATACTTCAGATAGAACTTAAGAAGGCCAATGCTTCAGATTTTGAGAAGGTAGTGTGCCAAAGAAAAGCACCTTTTTAAATGTATTTGAATGTTATTCTTGTTGATATCATGTACCTCAATATAGTCATTTAAAATATTTTGCAAATTTATTTTCATGTTTAAAATACATAAATAGCTTTGCCTCAATAGGCTCAGGACTCAGTGTTTTGATTTTGATTTTGTTTTTTTTTTTCTACACAGGAGGAAAGTCACACAAATCCAATAATTTTCCATGACACAGCATATATAGTGAGGTTCCTGACAAAAAGGTTCACTCCCTATGCTATGACATACACAAAAAAGAATGTTGTTCTAGAAAAAAACTGTGAAATGTTTAAAGCTTTGCTTAATGATAAACCCAGTGCTGTGTCTAAGCCTCAAAGAACTAAGCCTGCAACACATTACAAAAGTCTGCAGTTCTTCTCTACCGAACGGGTGCAAAAGAGTATAAAGGAGAAACGAAAGAAGAAACATGACAGTCTGATTTCCAAAAAGAGATCCCCGGACACACTTTATAATTTATCCCGAACCTTCTCGGGCTTAACCAAAAAAATCGTGGGTTACTTTGATAAGGATGTTATTGAAGAAAAGAGCGCTAAGGCAGGTGGATCTCAAAGACAGTTTTCCAAGGCAGGTGGATCTCAAAGACAGTTTTCCAAAGTAAAACCACCACACACACGCAAATTCACCACCTTACCTATCAAGTATGACTCAAAGCCTCTGAAGAATATACTTGAAATCCATAAACTAAACAACATAACCCCACTAGACAACCTGATAAGCTGGGAAGTCAACGGCTCATGAGGAACCGTTTATGCTGCACTATTAAAAAAACAAGAACCGAGTTCCAAGATCACAGAAGAAATTCTTAGCTGATTATTAGTGTTCTGATGGATGAAGTACACAAATCTGCAGTGGTCTGTTTAGGATCAGTCAACATCGTTAGCTAACATAAGGATGGAATTAGAGAATTAGCAACAAGAGAGACTCATTTATGACTTAGTTTTGGTTGTCAGCCTAGCTTTTAGTGGTTGAGCCATTTCTTGCTCATGGATTATCTCAATTATACTTATCAGACATCCCTGTTGGCTACAGGCCATTCTCATTCAGTACCAGCTACGGAGTGGATTGGTGAAAAAGTTGCTGTAGGAAGTCAAAAGACTTCAACAAACAAATGATTGACTGTCAAGACAGATGTAACGTTAATTTGCTGAATATGGAATCAATAGTAGGTCAGCATCTTAGAGACTCATGGGGAAACAATGCCACATAAGGAATGTATGTGATTAAAAAGATTTCATAAAACCTGTTGGCGCTGTTTGGAACATCATTACTGCACCGTGTTTTCCAAGCATTACAGCAGCTTCCTTTTGGTGTTGTGAAATAACTTAAATGAAAAAGGTTCATCAGTGAGGTAATTGTGGTAGCAGATTCTGTCAACTGTTGCGTAGTCTAAAACACATTGTTTCATGGTACTTTTGCTCTTTCTTGTTGACTCAAACAGCATAAAGACAGAACTCGTCTTGAACTAAGTTACACCCAAGTTCATTTAGAGTACACTTCCTTAGGGGCCCCAAGTATTTCTCACTCAAAAACAGTCTTCGAAGGCAAGTGGCTAGACATTCAGTCAACAGCACATGTCTAGAATGCAGAAAATCCTTTGGTCAAGTCTCAGCATGAAAAAAAGTAAATAAAAAAATAAAAATAAGCTGTCAGTAATAAATTTAACTTATAATTTTATCACACAGAATTGAAAGTGAAAATAAGTAATAATTTATATTTCCAATAACTAAAAGGAAACACTAGGTAAGAGAAGGATCTGCCCGTGTTGATTAGAACGGGAGGACAAGCAGGTCAGATCGGAAGCATCCAATTAAGAGAAGTTGGAGGGCAGTGGCTCAGCTGCAATACAGGCAGAGCAGAAACCTGGGTACCACCTGCGGGGCCATGCTGCAGCAGGGAAGGTCCTCAAGTCACCTTCCTCACACTCCACCCCTCCCCCACTCTTTCTCACTGTCTCCATTATGCCAATCTTCTTTGCTTTCCAGTTTGCAGTAAAGCAGAATACTCCCCTCCCCCCTACTTCCGCCAGCCCCCATGCTGGGTCAGAAGAGAAAACAAATTCTTTGGAAGCACCAATGAGAAAATCAAGAAGTAGAACATATACCTAGTAAGTGCACAATGTCCATACTCAGCATGAGAAAAAGGTGTGTAGGACTTAGAACAGAAAGTACCTAAGTCTCCGTTTACTGTGTTCTCACTCAAGGTGGGGTTTAAGACAAGATTGTCTCCAGATTAACTAAAGCAATGCCTAGTATCTTGAGCATTGTAGCATTTGATAAAATTCTTTCTATCCCACTTTCTCTTAAGTTAGTTCATGATAAAACATTTTTTTCTAAGTTAAATGCTAAACCTAACTATAGTATTCAGATTTTAGGCTAAAGAACTGAGTGGGGTTGGGGATGGAGTAGCTAGTTCTTTTTGGTAGTTCCTATGTGCGTATGTGGGCTTTATCCTTTAGAAAGACACTAAACACTGGCTATGTAACTCAGTTCTAGATCTCTTACCTAGCATGAAGGAGGCCTAGGTTCAATATCAGTATTGGGGGAGAAAAGCCTGGCATAAGTCCAAAACCATATTCGTTTTCTGTTGCTGTGAGAAAATACCATGACCTGGGGCTGGAGAGATAGCTCAGAGGTTAAGAGCATTGCCTGCTCTTCCAAAGGTCCTGAGTTCAATTCCCAGCAACCACATGGTGGCTCACAACCATCTGTAATGAGGTCTAGTGCCCTCTTCTGGCCTGCAGACATACACACAGACAGAATATTGTATGCATAATAAATAAATAAATAAATATTTTAAAAAAAGAAAATACCATGACCACCCTACTTAAATTTCTAGCACTGATAAAGACATGTCCAAAAGCAACTAAGGAAACAAAGGGTTTATTTCAGCTTATTGTTGTGGTCCACCATGAAGGAATGTCAAGGCAGGAACTCAAGCAGGCACCTGGAGACAGGAACTGAAGCAGAGACCATGGAAGGACACTGCTTGTTCCTACTGGCTTGCTCGGCTTTCTTTCTTACCCAACCCAGGACCACCTGCCCAGGGATGTCACCATTCACCATGGGCTGGGCCCTCCCATGTCACTCATCAATCAAGAAAACTGGCCCCATAGACTTGCCTAGAGGGCAACTTAAGGGAGGCATTTTCTCAGTTGAAGTTCCTCTTGCCTAGTGACCTTGGCTTGTGTATGGTTCGCAAACTTAGCTAAACAGGACAATGACTAAGAACAAGTTATGGAAAAGTTTATTTGGGCTTATTGGCTCCAGAGGGCTAAGAGTCCATCGCAGCAAGAAGCCATGACAGCAAGTGGCAGGCATGGAGGTAGGAACAGGAAGCTGAGAACTCAGACCTTTAACCACTACAAGCAGGAAGCTGAGAGAGCAAACTAGAAACAGGCAAGGCCTTTTACTGTTCAAACCTATCCCCATTGACATATTTCCCCCAATAAGGGGGAACAAGGTCACAACGCCTAAGCCTCCTCAATCAAAGGCACTGACTGTGGAGCGAATGTTCAAATGCCCAAGACTAAGGGAGGCACCTCCTAGTCAAACACCTACGCAAGTAGTGAGTAGAAGACCAGTCCAGAATACACCAGAAGAGACCCTCTAACATCCCTGCCCTCTAAAAGAAAAATCCTTAAACACAAGTGATGGAGGAGGGTCATCGGTCTATGTGTTACTCTCATTGGTTAATTAATAAAGAAAACTGCTTGGCCTGATAGGTCAGAATATAGGTAGGCAGGGAAGACAGAACAGGATGCTGGGAGGAAGAAGGCAGTGAGGCAGACGCTATAGCTCTCCTCTCCAAGATGGACGCAGGTTAAAATCCTTCCTGGTAAGTCATCACCTCGTGGTGCTACACACATTAATAGAAATGGATTAATCAAGATGTGAGAGTTAGCCAATAAGAGGCTACAGATAATGGACCAGGCAGTGTTTAAATTAATACAGTTTCTGTGTAATTATTTCGGGTAAAGCTAGCCGGGCAGGCGGTGGGAAGCGGCTCGCCGTTCCTTCTATACATAAGAATGACATTTTTGCATGTATGTGGATGTACTCCTTTAATCCTAGCCCTTGGTAGGCTAAGGCAGGATCATCATGAGTTCAAACCCCGTCTGGGCTACAGAGTAAGATCAGAGCTCAAAAACTGTTGCAGGTTGTTTACACTGTAAAGATGTCTCTCTGCCTAAGGCGCCTTCTGATTGGTTTAATAAAGAGCTAAATGACCAATAGCTTGGCAGGAAAAATAGGCTGGACTTGCAGGCAGAGAGGGGAAAAACTGGGAGGGGAAATCTAGGCATATGACCTTGTCAGAAGACTCAGAGCAAGTTGGGTGTGCTGTACTAAGAAGAGGTAACTGAGTCATGTGGCAGAACATAGATTAAAAAAATATGAGTTAATTAAGAGCTAGTTGGAAAAAAGTCTTGATCTTAGGGTCAACCTTTCATAATAATAAGTCTCAGAGACATTATTTGCTGACTGGTGGCTCAAAGATAGTTCAACAAGAAAACTTGATACAAAAACACAAAGCAAAAAAACAAAAAAAAATGCAAACATATATTTACTCGAGGACTCAGTTAAAGCAGCTTCCTATCTGGGAGCACTGGGTACTGAGAAGGTGGAACTTAAATCCTACACCATTCTCTTCTGTGTTCATTTGAAATCTGTCATCTTTTAAGTCAAGAGCTGCAGGGGATGTCAGGCAACATGGTCAAAGTCAGACTTGGCTTTCTGTTCTCATGCTAAGATCTGAACATGGCCTGCAAGGGCAGCCTGCAGTGAAGGTGATAGTATGGGCTGCCTGGTGTTGGGCTGCCTGGTGCTGTGAGTCACTCTCATGGAAGCTGCATTCATTTCCATAGAAAAAAAATCCTGATCTCATTGAGTCCTAGTAGAACTTAAAGGGAATACTAAACCTATAACAAAAATTTCCTTCAGAAACCTCATCAGTGGACTTATTTGCTTATTTCTTTTCTTTATTTTAAATGTATTATTATGGCTATTATTACTATTACATGTGTGTGTGTGTGTGTGTGTGTGTGTGTGTGTGTGTGTGTGTTTTCTTGAGTGCCTGTGTGGTACGTACATGCTGTGGAGTATGTGTAGAGAACAGAGGACAAATTTCTGAGGTCTGTTATCTCTTCCCACTTTAACTTGCCTTCTGGGGATCAGACTCAGGTAAGTAGGGTAGTGTGACTAGATTTTACCTGCTCAACCATCTCGCCAGTCCCAGCTTACTTCTTTTAATTAAACAAGCAAGAGACTGTTAGCCTCAGGCTTTCTTCATAGTTTTAGTTCCTACCTAATAAATGATAGGTTGGCTTAGTATATAAATAAACCACAGCCTATTTGGGAAATAAAATGTGTCCGAGTTTTAGTCAATCATAAACAGCCAAATTTAAACAATCACAAATATACAACTTACAGTAACATACCCAAATCAGGCAAAGACCCCATAACACCATGGCCCCCAAAGTCAGATGCCTACTTATAGCCAATCATGTGGACTCTCTACCTCATGTCTTCATCCTATAATAATCCACTGCTCACAGTGCCAAGTAAAACTACCTGAGCCTTTTCTGGCTCTGAGAGCTGCCAAATTCATGAGTTACCATATGGTCAAAGAAGCTAAGTTAAATCCAATTTGTCTACACTTTTTCTAACATTTCTGCACCTCCAGCTAGCAGTAGGTAAGACCTTCATCTTATTCACCTACATACCTGTGGTCACTAAGGACTATGACAAGGAGACCTAGGTTCCCCTAAATCACCTAAGAAAATAACGTTCCATCTAGACACATCATGGTCTTGGCTTAGGTTAAGTAAAATAATGATCAGATTATGTTTTCAGTTTTCTGGATGTAAAATTTATACAATTGCCCAACACAGCCTAAGAAAAACAAAAAAAGACACAGAATTGAAACAACCTTTTAAAAGTGGAAGGGAACTTTCCTGCGGACACAAATCCCTTGGGTAGGAGGCAGTGATGAGGACAGTCCTGACTATCCATGTATTAATTATGTTGTCACAGCTGTGACGAAAATATCTGAGATGATGTGTGATTCCCCTCTGTATGCTGTGATTACCATTGATTAATAAACAGCTTTGGACCTATAGCAGGGCAGAACACAGGTAGGTAGGGAAAACTAAACTGAATGCTGGGAGAAAGGAGATGGAGTAAGAGAAGCCGTGGAACCACCAGAGGGGAAAGACAGGAGCTGCCAGCTAGAACCTTGCTGGTAG